AGTAAAAGAAAGAATAGAAACTAACTTTAATACTTTAATACTTTAAGTTATTTAAGTTAAAGAATAAGAATAATTTAACCTAAAGTTAAATTAGTCTAGCTATATAGATTAATATTATTCTAGATATTAATAATTTTATATTATCTAGAGTTAATATACTAATAGCTTTAATATTAACTATCTTTAAAAATAGGTAACTATATAACTCTAGAGTAAGTTATATAGTATATAATAATTATAATTTCTTTAATAATCTAATTAAAGACCTAAATAGCTTTAAGAATTATAATTTTATTATTTCTAATAATAAGGTAGTATATTTTTAAAGTTATAAAAAAGTAATAATTTAATTTAAATTAAATAATAGTACTTTAATATTATATTAAATAAAATATTTTTAGAATCTAAATATATTATATAATCTAATACTAGTAGAAAGAATAAAGATAGAATTAAGAATCTATTTTAACTTAAAAAATTAATATATTTATAAGATAGTAATAAATAAGGTAATTAAATATATTATTTTAAATAATAATATCTTATTTTTGGTTCTAAATAAGGTAGTAATTATACCTACTATACTAATAAACTTATTATATTAATAATTAGGTTATTTATCTATTAAATAATTAAAATATAATAAGATAATACTTTATAATAATAATTTAACTATTAATAACTTGCCTATTACTAATTAGAATACTAAGCTATATTATAAAGTATATTAATTATTAAAATTAAAGAAAAAGATATCCTAAAAATTATAATTATATATAATAAAACTATTATAATTTATATATATAGATCTCTAAGAAATTAAACTAATTAGAAGAAATAATATTAGGTATATCTTACTAGTTCTAGATAATTATTCTAGATACCTTTTTATATAATATTTAAAGGTAAAAAGTAAATCTTTAAAGATATTAAAGGAAATATATAATAATTAGTTAAATATAACTAATATTTATATTAAAAGAGTTAGATTTAACTCTATTCTTAAATTTAATAAATATACTAGATAGAGTAAGAATTTTAGTACTATATATAAACTAATACTACTATAAATTCTTAAAAAAAATAGTACTATTAAATAATTTAATAGCTATATAATCTAGACTGCCTGTATAATATATATATAAGTAAAAATAAAACTAATTATATAGCTATATAGTATAGATATAGTAGTCTATATTTTAAATAGGTTAGTTAAGAAAGATAATAATAAAGGAAAGCTACTTATATAATTTTTTTATAAAAGATTAAATATTTTAATTAGAGATATTAATTTATAATATATTTATATATAAGAATATAAGATATTTATAAATATTCTATATAAAAATAAGATTAAAAGTATAAAAATATTACCTAGAGTAAAAATTAGTTAACTAGTTAAATATAATAGAGATTATATCTATAAGATATAATATTTAGATATAGGGAAGATAATTTAGTTAAAAAATATAATATTTAATAAAAATAATATTAATAAAATAGATAGAATATAATTATAATTTCTTAATAAATTAAAACTAAATAATAATAGTCTATTTAAAGTAACTATATCTATTAATACTAAAAAAGAAAGAATAACCTATAATAAAGTATCTTAAAGTAATACTATTTTCTAAATCTTACTATTAGTAATTAATAATAAAGTTATTATAGGGAGAATTTAAATATTAATACCTAATCTAGTCTTACCTAAATTAAGCCTATCTAATCTAGAGATAGGTACTAACTTAATATATTTATACCTACCTATCTCTAGGGCTATCTCTAAAACTACCCTATCTAATCTAGAGGCAGGTATTAAATTTATTATACTTGAGTAGCTACCTACTTCTAGGGCTGCCTCTAGGGCTATCTCTAAAACTACTAAGCTTATTATACTAGAGTAGATACCTGCCTCTTAGCCTGCCTTTAGGGCTGTTTCTGAAACTATTACTAAGTAAAATAATCAAGTAATTAGTAAGGATATAGAGGAGATAGTAAGATTTAGTATAGAGAAATAATCTAGGCAGGATAGATATAAAAGAATAATTAATTATTTTATTATAGATAATCTATATACTAGTTAACCTATTTTTAAAAGGATACTAGTATTATAACTAATATAAAGGCTTCTAAAATTATTTATTTAATATAAGGAGATCTTACTAGTTTTAAAAGCTTCTAAAGATAACTATACTCTAATAACTCTAAATATACTAAAAAGAAAGTATTTAAAGATTAGAAAGTAGGTTAAATTTAATATTAGGAATATAAAAATAATTAACCTAGTAAAGGTATAAAATTTTATTAATAATAATACTAGTAATAGTATTATTACTTTATAAAGATCTTTAAGATCTATAAAGGGTTAATATTAAAATATTTACTTTAAAGATAAGCAGGCAAAGTAATTATAGGAAGAAGAAATAAAATAAGAATAATAATCTTAATTCTAATTTATATTACCTTTAAAAATATTTTTAAAAATATCTTATTTACTAGAATTCTATTTAAAGTTAGGAGAATTACTTAATATAATTATTATAATATTATTAGATTTTAGTAATTTTATATTAAAGATCAAGCTTATAAAGACTTATAAAATTAGAATCTTATAAATCTATACTTAAATAATAAAGTTACTATAAAAGGATTACTAGATATAAGTAATATAAAATTAAATTAGTAAGCTTAAAGTTATTTAGATTTATAAATTTATATTATTATTAAAGAATATAAAGATTTTACTAGAAAAATAAATATATAATTTAAAATTAAATATAAATAATAATATATTATAATTTTATATAAGATAAATTATATATAGAAATTTTTAAAAATTAAATATAGACTTTAATTAAATCTACTCTCTAGTAATAGTAAATACTTTAATAAAGCTATTTTTAAGTATAATTACTTATTTTAATTTAAAATAAGTATAATTTAATATAGTAACTACCTATTTTAATATAATAATTAAGGATTAGAAAATTTATATATATTAATTAACTAGTTTTAATAAATAAGAAAATATAATATATTTACTATTTTAAATTTTATATAGATTATAATAATTAGTATTTTTTTAATATAAAAAATTCTATAATATTCTAGTAAAAATTAGTATAAAGATAATTAATAAAGATCTATATTTTTACTATAATCTAGATTAGTAACTAATACTTATTATCTATATTAATAATATAATAGTTACTAGCCCTAATAAAGTAAATATTTAATAATTTATAGATAAGCTAGAAAAATATTTTAAATTAAAGTAATTAAGTAAATCTATATAGTTCTTAAAATATAATATTTATAGACTACCTAATAATCTAATATTAATATTTTAATATATATATATCTAAAAGATACTCTATAAATAGAATTTCTATAATCTTTAGTTATATTATATACTAATAACTCTAGAATAGAAATTAATTAGAGAGATACTAGATACTAGTAATATTATTCTAGATATTATATATACCTCTATAGGTAAAGATAATATTACCTATTATTAAAAGTTAACTAGATCTTTAAATTAGATTATTATTTAGATCTAACTAGATATTTAATATATAATAATATAATTATTATAAAGAAATTATAATTTTAGTAAGTTAAATTATAATATAATTAAATAAGTTTTCTAATATTTAAAGAAAATCTTAGACTATATAATAATTTTAGATTATTTAAATAATCTATTATATATATATATTAATATCTTCTATATAAATTATAAAAATAAAAAATTAATAAAAAACTTTATATTTTTTATATTTAAAGTATTAATTATATAAAGATTAATAAAGTAATTACTAGTTATTTTAAATTTAATTATTATAAAATTTATTATATAAAATATAGTAATAAAGCTAGTTATATAGCTATAAAAGCTATATATAGTTATTAAACTAGAAAAATTTATAAAAAATATTATACTTTTATATATTAATTCTATTAATATTATTATTTTAATAAAGAAGTTAAACTATATATTTATACTTTATTAGATAGATATTTATTACTTCTTTATTAAAGAGATAATTAAAAATAATAAAATTTAATTATAAATAATTAATAGAGAGAATAATATTATTAATAGGCTAATTAAGATACTACTAACTATAAAATTTAATAAATTTATTAAGAGGTTAGATTTTAGTAGGTTAGAGATAGACTCTAAATAGCTTTATATAATAAATATGTTACTAAGGGGGGTATATTAGAGTACTATACTTAGTAAATATAACTAGTACTATTATAAAGCAGTATTATTATAAAGAAGAAGATAGTAATACATGACTACTCTATATATTTAGGCCACTGTTTCCTTCTAGATCTCCATGCTTCCTCCAAGCATCTCTCCATCTCCTAGTTAGACCTAATTGAATCCATTTCGGTCAACTTTCTACCATCATAGTTTGACAACCTTCATCAGTATATATATTGTACGTCCCACCTAATCGTGCCCTCTAAAAGGCAGAGACCATTATACATTCAGTTACATACATCCCTGCCAAAGCTACCTAATAGGGTAGTCTTTCTTTACAAGGACTATTATGCAGAACTGCGGAGACGGAAAATGCGCAGACAATGGTTGGTAAACCCCGCATCCTCTGTTTTATTAGTGTTCCTTTATGACAGAGTATGTGGGCTTGCAGCTCAACTGGATCGAGTTTAAGTGCGGGATAGCTCTACCTTTGGCCCGGTCTGGTGCTTCTTGACCTGACTTGGTGGACTCTTTGTTAGGGTTCATGATTTGGGTCCCCACGGCCTCAGAGCGCAAGTTCTCATTCAGTGCGGGTCGCCTTATCCCGAATATCCCTAGCCAGCTACTGATTGGATTCGTTCCTTCTTGTCGACTGACCCTTGGTTGAGCCATATAAGTTCCTATTATCAAATCATGTTCACAGCTTCGCAATATATTCTCCCGAGATCAGCTTCTCTCCCTTCCTTAGCGGGGTCAGCAGTCATGTATAAGGTGGGCAGCATGGCATACAGGAAACCGGCAACTCCCCTCCTGACATTTGCCAACATAGCATCCGACGGCTTTTAAGAGCCAGCACCAAGATGGGCTTGTACAAGCGGAAGATCACCATCAGAGATGATACGGTCACATCAGCTGTGAGCTTGACCCTGAGACAGTCTCTTCTGCCAAATGCTTTAGGTATGTTCCTAAGAGTCGTTCCAAGTCAAGCCATTAACCGACGCAGTCACCATTTTGTTTTTCCTATGGGGGTTCGCCTATGGACTTTTAGATGTGCTCAATTCTCACTTTCAGTCGACACTGCATATTTCTGCCAGCAGATCTAGCGGCCTACAAGCGTCTTATTTTGGCGCATACTTTATTTGTCCGCTGACGATCTCGGGTTTGCTCGTTCGGAGATTCGGCTTCAGGGTTACTTTTATGACCGGTACCCTCTCATTCTTGGACTGTACGATAACATCGGTTTCCTGGCTAACTCGAACGGATAGGCCTTGCAGTTCTTGCGGTCGGTTGCCTTCTCTTCTGGCCTAGTGGCGTGAAGAAGTCCTTTGGAGGATTTTGTGGTAGCATGTTTGTGTGTATCATCATTGAAATCCTTCGAGTGCTTGTCTAACAGATTGCAGGTAGTGGGAGCTGGTTTGTCAACCTTGGAAACAGCTGCTGATCCGTACGTATCATGCTTGATTTTCCCTAGACTATACGATTAATTTCTTGGTTACCATCTAGATTCCTATCCATTTGTGGGCCTCCGCGATACAGTGAAATCCGCCTCAACCTGGCACAAGCGGTCCAAGGCGTTGGGACCTTTGTCGCACCACTTCTCGCATCTCGTGTCTTCTTCGCGCATACTGTGAACACAGAACAGGGCCTCAAAAATGTCCAATGGGTATATCTTGGTGTCGCATGCTTTGTTGCGCTCTTGATTATCCTGTTCTTCCTGGCGCCTTTCCCTGAAATTACCGACGCAGACCAACAGGCTCTGGAGAATATGATAACGGAACAAGGCCAGGAGACGGCTCCTCTGCGCAAGCAGTACAACCTCTTCCTAGGGGTTTGGAGTCAGTTCTGCTATGTAGGCGCCCAGGTAGCTTTAGCAGGATATTTCATCAATTTTGCCCAAGAGGCTGGATATACAGCAGCCAAGGCTTGTACGTTGTCTCTCCCATTCGAAAAGCCAACCTTAGGGTCTCCGCTGACTTCGTGTATAGCCGATTTGCTCGCTGTTGCACAGGGTCTTTATGCTTTTAATCGATTCCTGGCCGCTGGGCTGATGATGATGAAGACATTCAAGCCTCGCTACATGCTTACCGTCTATTTACTGCTTTGCTTTATCTTTTCGGTGATCGCAATGAATACGAGGGGCAAGGCTTCTGTAGTGTTTACCATTTTGGTTTTCTGCTTTGAATCGGCAAGTCGACCACCATACTGGGAACCTATTAATTGGGTCTCTTTCTAACGTTCTTCATTACAGTGCTGCTTTGCAACAATCTTCACCTTGGCGTTACGTGGCCTCGGTCGTCATACAAAGATCGGAGGTTCGTTCCTTGTAGCGGCAATCTCAGGAGGAACAGTCTTTCCTCCTATGATGGGTGCTATTGTGGTGAGTTTTCAACATCCTACTTCATTCTTTTCGTCCAACCATTTGACGGGTGTACTTACTTTTCATATTGGTAGACGAACAAGAACGCTCATTGGGCCATGGGTATTCCGATGATGGGGTACATTTTGGCTTTAATTTTCCCTATTTACGTCAATATCTTCCAGAAAGATACCATGGATCTTCATCGAAGCACTGCCCTCAACGTCGATATGACAGTGGGCAAGGAGGTTGGGTTGGAGGGAGGGCACTCTAAGCATGTCGACAATAGCCGGACCTGAAGGCACCAATTTCTCCACGAGGTCGTTCAGGCCGTTTTAGATAATGAACATATCATATATTCTCATTAGCTTCCTTTAGAACACAGGGACGCCATCCCGACTCCGCGACGAATGAGAGAGGGGTTGAATTCGAAAACGCTTTGAAGTAACGGAATATGGTGAATTCTCCCCTCCTTCCAACCACTTGACTCACATATTAGAATCAAATCGGCTAGACTTTTGTACTAGCAATTGAGACAAGAATCTCCCTGGTGATTTTCGATCGCAATCTAGCACCTAGAGCGAGAAAGACATTTCGTGTAAAGTCGTCAACTAGGATGTACCTGGATTCTGGACTAGCCACGTATGGAAAATCACAGGTTGCGAATTTAGTTCGCAGGGAACGGGCCCGGTTGAACTCTTGCCTCTATTGCTTGCAAAATTGATGAGTGTGATCCTCACTGGCCCGCCGACATCCCGAAGGAGTTGATCATATCCGGGGAGAGATCAGGTCAAGCGTTCGATATTGTACCGATAATTGCGTTGCTGTGCATCAACTGATAATGGATTCCATGGCAGATTTCCTGTCAAGGAGCTTTCAGGTGCAGACTGCGGCGACTGCTACTACTTCCATGAAGCAGAGGGTAGTGTCGTGGTCAACATCACAATCCCAGCCTAGCCTTTGGGGCTTCAGGGTGGAGAAACCTCGGCATACGGGACGTATAGGCTAGTGAACAGGTCTAGCGCCCTTTAGGTATCCGTGAGGTTATACAGAAGTAGACATTGGGATGGCGATCCGGATTGCGCAGGGGATTCGGAGAATTACTGCACTCTTTTGTGAAGCTTTATTGTTTATGATTGTGTTTGGGAGTAGCATTTTAGGGGGTAGAATTTCTCGCTAGGAAATATTTTATGGAATACATAGGCCCTGAATTTGTGATGGATGATTTCAGAGCTCGCGAAGGCCCTCTTGCGTGAAAAGCAATCTACCGAACGTATTGCCCTCTTTTATTTGTTTTTATCCCAGGAAGGTTTCTATTCTCTCTCTGTAGGTCGACAATTCTTTAGTCGAAACTTGGTAAGTTTCATCATTTGATTCCTTCATACTCACGAGGCCTGCAAGTCGGTGCATTTCCCGACTGTCGCAAGCTACCTAGCAAACTGAGAATCCTAGTAGACTACCCCGAAGTTGGACATGTAGCTACAAGATTCCGACGACTTACAGAGGAAGACCCTCTGTTGCTCCTCCTTGCCAGTGGTGCCAGATTCTCAAGGATCGAGGAAGTGAACAATCACATCTACCCTGGTCTCCAAACTCGCAGAACTTACCATCTTTAGCCAAAATGATAGACATCCTCCTAGACAAATATCTGCGGGCTGAGGTGTCATACAAATTCCTTCCTATACGAGTTCATCTGCTGCTGGGGAACTAATCTGTGATTTAGAGGAATTTTATGTGTCTACTCTCGGCTCAGTATGAGGGTACAAATACGAAGTAGACGTCAAGGATAGTACAAAATAGTACAACCCTAGTTTTGAGCCGGAAAAACGCCCGTTATCATTGAATAACAATGTTGATCCTAGCTCGAGTAATGGATTGCCGGTATATGATGATGATGATGGACGCATTCTGTGTATTGTTTATGAAAGTTCTTTGGTCTTATAAACTAATTTGCTAGCCATTAGAGCTCTATTTCGATGCCACATACTCTTTGACTTATTATTTCGGTAGTAATAATAGGCACTGTTAGGTGGAATTTATTGTATTGACCAAATAATGCCAGCGATTCTGGTACGTCGACAAAGGCACCCCAAGATGTAGAGTCTGATGCCGGCGAGAAAGCATTCTCTGCATTGTTCTAGTCATATCTTCTCGATGATTCAGGGCCTTCAAGTAACTCAACTCGTCACCTGTTGAATGAAAAGAAACTGCCTCTACTGTTTGGCCAGGTTTCTGCTACTCCAAACTATTAATATTGAATTACATTGTTCCAGGCTTTTATGAACCCCTCGGTGCAAGCATCCGAGTCTAGCTAATTTGTCCGAGGACATCAATTTGTTCCAAGACGCTCCATACTCTTGAAAATAGCATCAAGAATATACTTTCGTAAAACTTCTACACGGTTCGTGAGATCCTGTTTTGCCTTATGGGGCATTTCGTCAATCGAAGACCGATATTTAAGACTAAGGGTATGGACTCTTCTAAGCGCTAGCAGTGTAGTTGGAGGAATGAGATAATGCGGCAGTGAAGTGCTATCAATATTTTGAATACTAAAGTTTGAAGAGAATAGGATTAAAATTACTCGAAATATTTTTAACAAGCACAAGTCAAGATACAGGGTGTAGTAAGCTGTGGCCATGGTCTTGAATAGTAACAAGATCTAGCATACAGCTCCCACGCAGTAGAGTCCTCTTTTTATGATCCATCATGTACTACAAGAGAAATCCCAGGCAAGGCCCACGGTGATTCCTTGGACCCTTAGCACATCGGGTCTCCTCAAAGTATTTCAAGAACCCATGTTGACTGGTGGCTATATTAAGGATGCCTTTGATCTTGGGTGCCAGGCCTACCTAAACTTTTCATGTAAAAGCATGTGATCAGAGGTCCAGGGATCTTAATTCTTGACTGAAGAGCAATTATTCGCAACGTAAACAGCATAATATGTTGGAGTGCTGCACTCAGTGAATGCAACCAGCACCACCATAAAGAAGAAGATAGTAATATGTGACTACTCTGTGTATTTAGGCTACTATTTCCTTCTAGATCTCCATGCTTTCTCTAAGTATCTTTCCTTCTCTCTATTTTCTAGTTAGACCTAATTAAATTTATTTTAGTTAACTTTCTACTATTATAGTTTAATAATCTTTATTAGGTTATAAGCTCTCCTTAAGATTTTATTTTATATTTTATAGATTTTTAAAAAATTCTTATTATATTCTTATACTCCTATATAAAGATCTATTACCTAATTAGATAGAGATTCTAGTAAAAATATTATTTATTATTATTATATTACTCTACCTAGGTAATAATATATAGAAAATTTCTATAATTTAATTAAAATAGTAATTAAACTTACCCCTAGTAAATATTCTAATATCTTTAATTTATTATACCTATCTTTAATAACTACTATCTTATTTACTAATAACTAAAATTAAGTAATAAAGCTAAAGAATAGTATATTTAACTTAAGTCTAATAATAGTATTAGAAAATAATTTAAAATTTAAAATTTAAACTTTATTTATATAAATAAAATTAAGACTTTATAAGATAAATAAGTTTTTTAAAAATAATATTCCTAGACTATAATTTAATAATCCTAAATATAAATTATAAAAATTTTTTTTATAAATAATAACTAGTTAGATATTATATTTAATAAGTAAGAAACTAGTAAAAAAATTATTAATAAATATTATTTTATATATCTTTATAAATAATTTTATATAAAAATTATAAAAAATAATTATTAATAATAATTAAAGATATATATACTAGATCTAGAGAGAAATTATTAAAATTAAGTATAAAAATTATATAATTATTAATAAGTTTATATTAAATTTTATTTAGAAGATAAATATTTCTAATAAATTAAAAATAATTATTATATTTTATTAAGTAATTATTATAATATTTTAAAAATTTAAAAGAAATAATATAAGCTTTATAAATTTAATTTTAAATAATCTAGATAATAATCTTATTAAAATAACTATATAGAAGTATTTTTATATTATATATAATATAATAAAGGATAAAATTTAGGAGAATTTATTATCTAATATTATATTTAATACTATAATACTAGCTATAAATATATTAAATTCTTAACTAATAATAAATAATAGAAAAAAATAATAGTAATAATAGAAATATATATTACTATAGAATATAATAATTACTAGCTATATTAATTATTAGTTAAAATAATTTAGAAAATCTAGAATATTATACCTATTTTATAAGGAGGAAAAATATAATATTAAGGACTATTTATATTTAATAATTAATAAGTAGAAGGAAGAGTAGAGACTAACTTTAATATTTTAATATTTTAAACTATATAAGTTAAAGAATAGGAATAATTTAACTTAAAATTAAGTTATTACTCTAGTTATATAAACTAATACTATTTTAGATACTAATAATTTTATACTATCTAGAGTTAATATATTAATAGTTTTAATATTAACTATTTTTAAGAATAGGTAATTATATAACTCTAGAGCAGGCTATATAATATATAATAATTATAATCTCTTTAATAATTTAATTAAAGATTTAAATAACTTTAAGAATTATAGTTTTATTACCTCTAATAGTAAGATAGTATATTCTTAAGATTATAAAAAAGTAATAATTTAATTTAAATTAGATAATAATACTTTAATATTATACTAAATAAAATATCTTTAGAATTTAAATATATTATATAACTTAATACTAGTAGAAAGAATAAAAATAAAATTAGGAATTTATTTTAACTTAAAAAATTAATATATTTATAAGATAATAATAAATAAGATAATTAAATATATTATCTTAGATAATAATATTCTATTTTTAGTTCTAAATAAGGTAGTAATCATGCCTACTATATTAATAGACTTATTATATTAATAACTAGATTATCTATCTATTAAATAATTAAAATATAATAAGATAATACTTTATAATAAAAATAATAACTTAGTATCATGGGGAGCAGGCGGGCAGTAGGTGTAGCTAACAGCAGGGTGTATATTCAGGCTATCTGCGTACAGGTACAATAGGTAGGGGTTAGGTCAGGATAAGGACATAGCTTGAAGAGCTATAACAGGATCAGGGGTAATATAGCTTAAATATAGAAGTAGAGGTAGATAATTAAGGTAGAATCTAATTAGATAAATATATAACTATACTATAATAGTATTCCCTCTCTTAGGCTAAGCTCTAATAAAATATTCCTAGGATCCAGGCTTTCTAAAGTAGTAGTAATAATAAATAATAATATATTTAGTAATATTCTTTAGGTAGCTAGTAGAAACTTTAGTAATAATAAAATATCTAATCTACTTAATA